TTTGTGAGGCCTGCCCGGAGCCCCCAGCCGTGCCCCGCTCGCGTGGAGTGCGGGGCAGGGGTGTCCTTAGCACCGTGCCTGCTCTGCCCCTCGGGAGGCGGGGTGAATCAGCGGCCTGTTTTGTTCACCGTTGCTCAGGCGGGGTCTTGTGGGTGGCCTGTCCCTCCTATCTGGCAGGGAGACCTGGGGGCCGCTGGGGTGCGTGGATCCAGTGACTGCGCTGCAACAGGGTGCAGGCTGTCCTGTCACACATAAGGTTATTAAAAAAACCCATGCCCTAATACCGTCTTTTTAGCCTGAAGACCGGTGCTCGGTCCACAGGTAGCTAAAGCATTAGCCAAAGGCAGGTAAAAAAAAAACAAACCCAAGCCCATTATCAGGAGGCTTACATTTGCCATATAAAAATGTGCATCTCCAAAAGTTAGTTTTAGGATGCAGAAAATCGGCAAGACTGAAAATTGGTAAGATTGAAAATCGGTGTGCTTAAAGCTGGGAATGTTAGGTAACACCAAAGGCAGTTGTTTAATATATACACAAACAAAAAAGCATGCTGTGAGAAGGCAAGCTGAGTGTGAACTCGTATTCAGTGAATGTAGTTATTCTAGGGTTTTTTATAAAAATGACATATATTTTTCATTCTGTTTTTAGGAAGTATTCAACATTAATTAAAATGTCCTCTACCAAACCTCCAAATGAAAAAGAAACACCCAAAGCGGGAAAGCCAGGACTGAGGATTTTTATTTAAACCTGTAAGAGGCTCATTTTGAGAGAAGCTAAATAAGCTTGGAGAGGCACAGTTGCTTTAAAATAATCATCGCAATCCTGTGTGTGTTTGATAACCATCTCTTGTTATGCAAACTACTCAGTAATGTAACTAAAAATATTTTTACTTCTTTTCCACCCTGTTTGTTATGCGCCCAGAACATTGTATTGTCTATTCCAGCTTTTATTTCACTTATATTGCAGTGAATATTACCCATGGAATTTGAATTAGTTTGCAGGCATATTACCCATGGAATTTGACAGGTTAAGTAATAGGAATCCTCTTTAAAAGGGAACAAGTTATAAAATGCAAGCCTTTTGATATGAAAAGAGGGGATTTTTAGTAGCTTTTCAATATTTTGGATTTTTCTTTTTCTTGCTTTTATAATTAAGTTGATGATGCTCAGGTTTTATTTACACTCGCAGAACCCAGCAAGACGGGATGAAATTTTGTGATATAATAAAAGTAGATGTTGTGATAATAATACGTGATCTGTTTTAGAGGAATATAATCCAGGTTGCTCAGCAGAAGCAGGGTACATTGTCCCAGTAGTATGTCCAGATGAATTCCATTAGAAGTTTGTAGTAGTTACCTTTAGTAATTGGTTTTGGCCTGTTCATTCATGCTCAAGCAGCATTTGCGACCAGCCAAAGGCAGAGCACTGGGCAATGCCACGAGAGTCATCTTTTTCACAGGGAATTCCTTTTGCCGTCAGAAAATGATGCCGCTTATTGAAGTTGTTTGGATCAGTGTACAGGAAGGAAATGATGATTTTTGCAGATGTCACAATAGTTTACCGTTCACTTTCTAAGCTAAGATTGAAGAATGTAATGTTTGTGATGAATGAAAAATGTTTTGACTGAAAATGTGCTAATTTTTATGGGGTTTTTGTTTTGGTCAGAACAAACCCGTGATGGCATTTGGACTCGTAGCAGTTACCCTCTGTGTGGCCTACCTTGGTTATTTGCATGCAACAGTAGAGAATAAAAAGGACCTTTATGAAGCAATCGACAGTGAGGGATCCAGGTACATGAGGAGGAAAACTTCCAAGTGGGACTGACAACATGAGGAAGGAAATCGGCAAATCAGTCGCAGAACTTTTCAAGGCAACTACTGTTTTTTCTCTGTCCGTTGAAATAATGGATAAATGTCTCTCTTGCTGTTTAATCCAATTTAAGTTCCTTTATAAAATGTCATGCCTATACAAATAAACTGCAGCTAAGATATATGCGAACATAAAAGTGAATTTAAGAATTGTCTGCGATCTCCACAGTATGTCAGAAGACGTGCAGTTAACTCGGATGTGCAGTCAAGACTGGTAAATGCCTTAGAATTTACATGATAGTTCAGCTCTCTTTTCTTTGATGAAGTGAAAAGAGGGGTTTGTCTTTTGTTTTTTAAACAGAAGGCACATTCTGTGTGAAAAGAACTCATCTCTTGATCTGTTGAAAGTTGATAATTAACAGTGGTGCAAGTAAAATAATTTTACAACAAGACAGATCTGATGAAGCAGTCATTGAAGGGTTATATTTAATAAAGGAATTTGTAAAATACTGGCCAAAATAATCCTTGGATGCTAATATAGTCTTCCTTACAGGTGAGAAAAAAAGTCAGTAGCCAGATAGAGAAAAAGTGAAATTAGTGCTTCTGCCAAGAGAAAGGTGGGAAGAACTCTGCCATTAGCTCTCCTGTTTGGCATCAGACAGCAGACCAGTGAACACACCGGTATCAGCTTGCCAATCAGTATGTATAACTCCAGGTTAGACAGAGCTTGTGGAATGTTCTTGATGTGTCAACAGGACTGGTTTAAGCTGCATTCAAAAATCAAATTTCTCTATGTTGCAAAGTACATTATATAAGATTAGTTTATTATAGGAAACTGAACTTGAGATAAGGAACAGAAAGTCAAAAATCAACAGGTTCTTACAGACAGAAAAGAATGGATCAAGCTGAACAAGCCCAGTCTTGCCCGACAGCCCCGTTTGCGGGTTGGAGGTGACCCTTGGCAGTGTGCTGGTTGGTGTGAGGGCGGGTGGGTGTTGTGGTGTTGCCTTAGCGCAGGAGGTGGTCCCCTGGGAGCCTTTACCTTGAGCAAATTGTACAGGTGAATACTTTCTTGTTCCAGCACTGAGGCCTTCTCCTATGAGCTCCTCCAGCTACTTCTGTGTGCCTGACATTTCTTCAATGGCATCCCATTAACCAAACTACAGAATATGTGGTGGGAGGGTGCATACCACCCTTTTTCCACCACGGACCCTTGTTAAATGTGCTGGTTTCATTTTTCCATGCAGCTCCTCATATTTACAGCCCCATCAAGGGCTCCCAAGAAGCTGAGAGTCCTCTGTGTTAACCCTTTTCTGGTCAAGGTGGCTTCTGTCAGGCCAAAGAAGAAAGAACATGCAGGGACATCTGCTTTGCCACTCTGGGAGTTGCTTTGGGTTTTGTTATCGGAAAGTTTTATTACCGGAAGATTTTGTTAAGATAAAAAACGTGCAATCCCTTGAGGGACAGCACTTGATATCATAGAATCGTAGAATGTTTGGGGTTGGAAGGGACCCCTAGAGGTCATCTAGTCCAACCACCCTGCAGTGAGCAGGGACACAGCTAACCAGATCAGGTTGCCCAGAGCCCCATCCAACCTGACCTTGAGTGTTTCCAGGGATGGGGCCTCCACTGCCTCACTGGGCAACTTGTTCCAGTGTTTCACCACCCTCATCATAAAAAAATTCTTCCTTAGATCCAGTCTAAACCTACCCTGGTTTAGTTTAAAACCATTAGCCCTTGTCCTGTCACAGCTGTCCCTACTAAAAAGATTTTCCCCATCTTTCCTATAGGCCCCCTTTGGGTACTGAAAGGCCGCAAGTCAGGTCTTCCTGCAGCCTTCTCTTCTCCAGGCTTAAGAAGCACAACTCTCTCAGCCTGTCTTCATAGGAGAGGTGCTGCAGCCCTCGGATCGTTTTTGTGGCCCTCCTCTGGACCCGCTCCAACAGTTCCATGTCCTTCTTGTGCTGAGGGCTCCAGAGCTAGATGCAGTACTCCAGATGAGGTCTCACCAGAGCAGAGTAGAGGGATATAGGGGGTTTCTCTGTGTCTCCCTCTAAATCCTTCACTTTGAACCTGTGATTTTTCTCCTATGTTTTATAGTTACCTGTATCCTAAATTCAGCTGGGCCTTGGCTTGGCTACCTCCTTCCTAAGAAGGGAAGTGAGCTCTACCTTTGATGAAGCTATTAAAAAAAAAAAAAAAGCATTTTCACAGCCTTTAAAAGCATATTCCCCTCTGTGAACCTAGCTGCCTCACAACAACGAGGTCTTGGGCAAATCCAAAAGCTTGCCAGTGAGGAAACTACTTGCATTTTCATTGGTGAAGGAATTTCCAGGTGAAGCAAACTAATATTCAGAACTATCACATGCTGTCCATATCCTATAGGATATGGGGGTTTTGGTAGGATGTGATGGATCTTTAGAATTAATCTGTTCTTTTTAAAAGGGTCACACAGGATTTTAGCTCTCTCCAGTTCATTAAAACACACAAGTCTTTGATGTTTGCATGGATTTAAGTAAATTATTCCTAAACCAGTGCTACAGTAAGCATTTTAACCTGTTTTTCTGCAGGCTTTTAAAATACACACTTTGATCCTTTTACCTGCAGATGATTCAAAGTGAGAAAGCCCAGTCTCTCATTTTCACTTATTTGGGAATAATGCAGGATTTGGATTCTCGAAATTTTGAATTATGTTTTGTGAAGTGAATATGAATCTGGAAGTTACTAAGGGAAAAGGAAGAGGGGTGGGGTGAAAGAGAAAAGTGTGGGACTGACCTGGGCAGGGTCTAGGCAATGTGCATGCCAATGGCACTTCATAGAAAAGCTGAGCTCCTCCAGCTACTTCTGTGTGCCTGACATTTCTTCAATGGCATCCCATTAACCAAACTACAGAATATGTGGTGGGAGGGTGCATACCACCCTTTTTCCACCACGGACCCTTGTTAAATGTGCTGGTTTCATTTTTCCATGCAGCTCCTCATATTTACAGCCCCATCAAGGGCTCCCAAGAAGCTGAGAGTCCTCTGTGTTAACCCTTTTCTGGTCAAGGTGGCTTCTGTCAGGCCAAAGAAGAAAGAACATGCAGGGACATCTGCTTTGCAACTCTGGGAGTTGCTTTGGGTTTTGTTATCGGAAAGTTTTATTACCGGAAGATTTTGTTAAGATAAAAAACGTGCAATCCCTTGAGGGACAGCACTTGATATCATAGAATCGTAGAATGTTTGGGGTTGGAAGGGACCCCTAGAGGTCATCTAGTCCAACCACCCTGCAGTGAGCAGGGACACAGCTAACCAGATCAGGTTGCCCAGAGCCCCATCCAACCTGACCTTGAGTGTTTCCAGGGATGGGGCCTCCACTGCCTCACTGGGCAACTTGTTCCAGTGTTTCACCACCCTCATCATAAAAAAATTCTTCCTTAGATCCAGTCTAAACCTACCCTGGTTTAGTTTAAAACCATTAGCCCTTGTCCTGTCACAGCTGTCCCTACTAAAAAGATTTTCCCCATCTTTCCTATAGGCCCCCTTTGGGTACTGAAAGGCCGCAAGTCAGGTCTTCCTGCAGCCTTCTCTTCTCCAGGCTTAAGAAGCACAACTCTCTCAGCCTGTCTTCATAGGAGAGGTGCTGCAGCCCTCGGATCGTTTTTGTGGCCCTCCTCTGGACCCGCTCCAACAGTTCCATGTCCTTCTTGTGCTGAGGGCTCCAGAGCTAGATGCAGTACTCCAGATGAGGTCTCACCAGAGCAGAGTAGAGGGATATAGGGGGTTTCTCTGTGTCTCCCTCTAAATCCTTCACTTTGAACCTGTGATTTTTCTCCTATGTTTTATAGTTACCTGTATCCTAAATTCAGCTGGGCCTTGGCTTGGCTACCTCCTTCCTAAGAAGGGAAGTGAGCTCTACCTTTGATGAAGCTATTAAAAAAAAAAAAAAAGCATTTTCACAGCCTTTAAAAGCATATTCCCCTCTGTGAACCTAGCTGCCTCACAACAACGAGGTCTTGGGCAAATCCAAAAGCTTGCCAGTGAGGAAACTACTTGCATTTTCATTGGTGAAGGAATTTCCAGGTGAAGCAAACTAATATTCAGAACTATCACATGCTGTCCATATCCTATAGGATATGGGGGTTTTGGTAGGATGTGATGGATCTTTAGAATTAATCTGTTCTTTTTAAAAGGGTCACACAGGATTTTAGCTCTCTCCAGTTCATTAAAACACACAAGTCTTTGATGTTTGCATGGATTTAAGTAAATTATTCCTAAACCAGTGCTACAGTAAGCATTTTAACCTGTTTTTCTGCAGGCTTTTAAAATACACACTTTGATCCTTTTACCTGCAGATGATTCAAAGTGAGAAAGCCCAGTCTCTCATTTTCACTTATTTGGGAATAATGCAGGATTTGGATTCTCGAAATTTTGAATTATGTTTTGTGAAGTGAATATGAATCTGGAAGTTACTAAGGGAAAAGGAAGAGGGGTGGGGTGAAAGAGAAAAGTGTGGGACTGACCTGGGCAGGGTCTAGGCAATGTGCATGCCAATGGCACTTCATAGAAAAGCTGTCTGAGATGGGGCCTCTCCTCTGTTGGATGGAGTAAAGTCCTGTTAGATTAATTTAGAACTGACCAGACTGAAGGAAGAATGAGTGTTTAGACTCATCCTTACTATTAAGGAGCTTCTCCATATTTATTTGTGGCAGCTGCTATACAGATAACTCTCTTGATGCTACAAAAATTACACATAAAAAGGAGATAAAGCAGTGCAAATACAGAGAAGAATGTAGTAAATTAATGGGTGTTATAGTATCAATACTGACTTTTGCTGTTTTAAGGACCTAATTTGTACCATAAAAACTATGTGTGTATAGGAATTAAGGGGAAAAAAAACCCCACCCAAACAAAACTACGTCGATAATAAAATCTGTTCACTCAACTCTGAAAGCACTGCTCCCCTTATGCATCTGGACGATAAGCAAACAGCACCAATACAATTTCTTTTGTTTTGCTTTTCTCAATTTCATCTTCAATATAGTAATAATTATCTACAGTGGATGATAGCTGGCTTGACAGGAACACTGAGTCAAAGTGATTTCCTGGGCAGAGGCTCTTTCAGGTTTTTGCCAATTCCTTATTGTCTGTGCTGGCTTTCACATCTTTACCAAGAACAGCAACAAAATGCTATGATTCAAATAGCTGCAACAGCAGCTGTTGTACCGCTCCTAAAATCTCCTTAGACTACGTGGTTTGAATAGGGGTTGTTGACATTCAACAACAAAAAAATGCATTAAAAAGCCAAAGCCTGCTGTGACGCTGCTTTGCTATTACCAGGGAAAGTTAGTTCTTTGTGAGCAAAGCCAGCCCTGCCTGGTGACAGTTGCTATGCAGGGAGCTGTATTAAGGCTGGAAGGGGTGACTTCATACAACCCTCC